CCGCATTCCTGTGGTTTGGGTCCGCAGCAGAAACTATACGTGAGACCGCAAGTGGAGCTGCGCCGACGCTGCGTTGGAGCTGTCACGCTGAGCAGCTATGCATGTGTGACCGCTCCACAAAATTTGCTCCGGTGTAAAATATATCGCAACAAAATATTTCGGTGCAGCGTCGGACCAAATGTGTGCCGTGTGAACAGGGCTATAGACATGCTGATCAGGCTAACTGAAAGTAGCTATTCAGCCCTAGCCCAAACAATAGGCCTAATCAAGACCCAACGATAGGGAATTAAGAAATCAATGGGCCTCTTCACCATAGGGGCGTGACTTACCATCCCCACCCAGTCCTCAAATAGGCCACGCTCAGCCTTTTAGCGCAGAGCAATTTCCCGAAGTCTTCACGGAGACTTCAGAGTTGTCTACCGCTGACGAAGCTTCTGTGAGAGAAGCGAAACGTCCTTTTTTTGTATTTTTTGTTTTTTACCCACAAGTACAGATGACGACTGACGGAACCCTTTCTAAAAACAGAGAAGTGTAACTTCCATTACTCCTCAATTCAGTTTCTGGGGTTTATTGTAGAGAAGGGCCAACTTCGAGCTGATTCAGCCAAGTTACAGGCTCTGGTCAATTGGCAGACTCCGACATTAAGGAAGCATTTGCACAGGTTCCTGGGTTATGCCAACTTTTACAGCTGGTTCATCCATTACTACCGTAGTATTGCAGAGCCGCTAACAAATTGTATATCTGCAAAAGTGCCGTTTGTCTGGACCCCTGAAACTGAACCTGCCTTTACTAACCTGAAACAATTGTTTCCCAGTTCACCTGTTCTCGTTCACCATAATCGTGATTTGCAATTCGTTGAGTTAGATTTTTTCGGACACAAGAATAGGAGCAGTTTTCTCCCAGCGCTCTTCGGTCAACCAGAGGATGCACTCCTGTGCTTTCTTTTCGCATCGCCTTAGTCAACCTGAGAGCAATTACAATGTCGGTAGTGGAGTTGCTGTGATGTTCATGGTCTGCTTTTACTTTTTGGTTCTCCAGTTACCAGTCATGGGCCGGTGGGTGTAGCCTGATGCACACCCGTTGATTCGCAGGATATGTAAACACTCCTCCAACTGAGGGATGACGTCGGATTATCCGGTTTGCATTGCACATTTTCCACAGGCAGTGTTTTTTCTCGCCGTTGCTGTGGAAACGGGTAAACGCCCCGCTCAAAGCTAAGCTTCGACGAATAAGATGGCGAAAAGAAAAAAAGATGACGAGTATGGTACACTTCAGCACGAATGGAACGAAGGATTCGCCTTTGTGGAAAGAACGGGTTCTACAGTGTGTCTCATTTGCAATGACAAAACACCATCAATGAACCGGTCGAATGCAGAGCGGCACTTTGACACGTGCCATGCTACGTTCACATCAAAACACACTGCGAGAGACAGCAGAAAGGAAGTATGCAAGCTCGTGAGCAGGGTGCAAGCTAGCCAGCAGCAACTCCGCGTATGGACCCGGCAAGGTGACTATAATTCCGCTTGTTTTGCTGGATTTTTAGCAATCGTGAGGAACGGAAAACCAGTCACATTAATGGTGAGTATTATCATAAAATTATTTTTAAAAAATACATTCAGAGGCTTATCATAGTGACATTTTGTTGAATTCACTTTTAAAATACATTTTATACATATATATGTATATATATATATACATATATATATATATATATATACACACACACACATTTTTTCTTTGTGTGCGTGTGCGTGTGTGTGTCCTTTAAATAGCAATTGAACTCGATTTCAGGACGACGTTGTGTAGTCGATGTCAGTCGCA